TTCACTATCTCGCTATATGCCATGAATGTATTCATAAGTTTTTTTAATTAATATAATTTATGTATTCAGATGTATTATATAATTTCTCTGAAGATTGCTATGTTTTTGGGGTATTTTTCGGTTGAGAATCTTTTTTATAACTGAAAATACAAAATTTGTGTGTTATAATTGAGTTTGTTGAGTTATATTAGGAGTCTATTATGTTAATTGATTCACTTTCCATTTTAAAAACAGTGTAATCCCCTATTTTACGCCGTGAATACAGTCGAATACAATAATCTGTCCAGCTGTAATCCCATGTTTCACTCCATGAATACAATCGAATACGCTCGAATACAACAACTGATTAGCTGGACTTCCCTGATTCACGCCTATTTTTGCTATTGTATTCATGAATACAATAGCTTAAATACATCAAATACATTTTATAACCACATAAAAGGTATCTATAATCTGTAATATAGCAAATGGTATCTATAGATGGCTAATTACTACTAAAAGATGCTGCTTTATGAAAATTTCTCTTTTTGTTTTTGTTTGTCATTGACTGGTCCGCAACCTTTGCTCTATTAAAGTCGTCTTAGGAAAAGTATATATAAAATTATATATTTATATGTCGGTTTGGTTCGGATTTTTTTACTCAATACCAAACCAAATCATACCAACATAATCGGGGTTCTTTAATCGGTTTAGTTTGACTTTTTGGTTTGATGCGGTTTTCTGGTTCAGTTTGAACACCCCTAGTAGCAGTAATAAATATTCTTCATCTTTAATTAAAGGTCTCGAGTTCGAGCCTAGATATGAAGTAACCTTTATTAGGAAGCATTTTATCTCCCGTTATAGGACTTTCTGAAGTGAATCCATATTTAGTCGAGTTCCAATCCGATATCAAGCGATAAATAGAAAAAAATAGTGTGCGTAAAAAATGTAATTACTGCAAGATCTGGGCCAATGTGTGTTTTTTATTGAGACAATTTCACTTTTAGCCGTTCGGCTGAAACTTTTGACAAACACTAGCCCAAAAATTTATTATGCGGTTTGAAGCCAAAAATTAATTAACATAGCTAGCCAAAAACTTAAAGATCGGCACACCCTTTCCCTTTTTCAGCTTTTTTGCCTGCAAGTGAGTACACTACTAAAATTTTGACGGAAGAATTTATTGAAAAGAGATTAAAAAAAATCGACAACAAGCATTATATATCGGAGTTCAGCTCTTTTCATGAAGAAAAGGATCGCCACTAGAAAATTTTAACGACTTTTTCATTTATTTTTGGTTGATGAACTGGTTGGAGACTTTTGAATTTAATTTTCTGACAAGATGTTGTCAGGAATTTTTTTTTTCAATTTGATAGTTTCAATAGTAAGATTGATATTACATGCACTTAATAGAATTTTATTTTTATTTATGATATGGTTATACCGGAAAAAAAATTCGCTATACATGTCGGGTCGTTTTACTATACATTACTCCATCGATAATGAAATTTTTTTAGTTGCCAAAAAAGAATAATCAATTTTCAGTTTTTGCTTGTTTTGCATCTTTCCTTTTAAGAATTGTGGAGTATATTTTTATTTTTTTTGAGAAACTGAAATTTTTATTTATATAATACTATGTAAGTTCAAACATAGCATCCGTAGAGTATACTCCATTTGTTACAATTCCTAGACTAACAAATAATAAATAATTAAAAATTATAGTATGATGCATCTCATCAATTACAAATGTGTAGTCATTCAATATACAAAAATGACTGTCACTATGTACAAGCTATACAAATAGACTGCCACTATACAAAAAAATATACAAAATAGACTACCATTATACAATTTATATACTAAATACACTATCATTATACAAAATAGATGTCACTATACAAAATATATACAAAATAGATGTCACAATACAAAATATATACAAGAAATACTATCACTACATAAAAAATGGTAGGGTACAACCGTACAAGGGAGAAAGGTAGTGGAAGGTACATAGAAAATAGGTTGTCACTATTCGTAAAATATACAAAATAGACTCTTATTGTACAATTTATATACAATAGACTGTCACTATACAAAAAATAAACAAAATAAACTGTCACTATACAAAATATATACAAATAGACTGTCACTATACAAAAAATATATAAAATAAACTGTCACTATACAAAAAATATACAAAATAATGTAACTATACAAAATAGATGAAACTATACAAAATATATACAAAAAAACTGTCACTATACAAAAATACATGATACACTCCAAATACACAGTGTGCACACATTACACATACAAAATTGTATATAATTTATATACACTATGTTTACATATTAGAAAATACATATTATATACAATTTTGATACATTATTCAGACAGATTGATACAATATATATACATTGCAAAAAAATATTTATATATTGCGCCAAGCAGGGGTCAAACCTATGACCTTCATCTTAGGAAAGAGACACTCTATCCACTAAGCTACAAGTGCTTATGTTGTCATACTGATTCCTTTTGGCTACTATATACAATACTTTTGGGCCGAAGGGTCATTTTTTGTAAGTAGGACAAAATATGGGCTATTTAAATTTTGAGGGGTTATAGAGGGTAGTTTTCCCTTTTTTGTTTTTGTTTGTCATTGACTGGTCCACAGACTTTGCTCTATTAAAATCGTATTTAGACAAGTGTACAAATTTGGAGTGTACTATTGGATAAAATATTTATGATTAAGTACCCCTAAAAAATTTATTACCCACCTACTACAGGTATTTAGATTTCTGTTGAGCATTTAATAGCAGGATACTGTTGAACCATACTTCATTTGTTGCTAATTTACTCAGCTTCCACAAAGGAAAAAATATACTCCATTTGGATTTATGGAGAAAAGGAGAAAGGAATCAACTACTTCCTCTGTTCACTTTTATTGTCTATTATTGACTTTGCACACCTTTAAAAAATAATAAATAAAATACATAATTTATCATGATACCTATATTAATTGATGTATTGTCTTAATGGATTTGAAAAAATGATTTGGAATAAGTTATTAATGCTAAGGGCAAAAAAAAAAAAATTCACTTGATATATGAAAGTGGTCAAATAAAATTAAAAATCTGTTTTTAGAATAGTGAACAAATAAAAGTGGACGAAGAGAATATTTACCTTCTCCCAAAAAGGAAAATTATCTAGAAAATTTATTTGTTTAGTCCTAATTTGCCTAATATTATAACGGTAGAAATTTGAGAAGGAAGATTTTGCATCTTTTATTAAAAATTTAAAAAGGTGATTTATTGATTAATGACCATAATTCTTTTTGAAGTCAAAGACAAACTTTTAACCTGTTCAGGATGTAGGCTGCACCCTAGGAGGTAAAAAAAGGCTCTGACCTTGACCAGTAAACGGAAAATGAAAGATAAACCAAGAATAAACAAATTACGCATTTTAAAAAACGCAAAAGGGCCAAAAATATCATTAACTTATTGAAAATGGTTTAAATTTGCTCTCCTTCCATCTATTAGGCCATAATTGCCCTTAACGTTAACTTTTGGATTGAAAATACCCCTCTCTCAGCAGAATTATGAGATGGCATGTGTGGGTCCTTTAATTGAATCCACGGTACTTATTTATTGGTCCAAGTGGTTATTAGACCAACCCATTAAAAATTCCATCCAGGTTAACCCAAAACAACTACAAACCATTTGATTTTCTCACAGATTGTCCAAAGATTTTCAGCACTGTAAGTTTCAATTAGGATAACGGAAAGCTTGAAGTTCAATCCTTACAGAGGTAGTCAAATAATGTTTTAAGTTCCAATCAACTTTAGCCAAGCAATTAACACAATTGATCTCAATAGAGAAATCCACCAGTAGAGGATTGAACAATACCTAGTACGAGCTCCTCGAACCAACAACTTTACTCGATTCTCAGTTTCAAATCAATAGTTTTTTTCGAATGATTTCCAACAATTACAAATTTTTATCAACCCCAAATTCGTTCTTGAGAACCTAGGAAGGAATTCGAAAATTTCAACCAACCCACTTAAAATTCAATATAAACTTCTCAAAAACTGTAAAAATGGTGTTTTGAAACCAGAAACAACTTAAAATCCCAAATTCAAAACACCCAATTGATCCCTTAACAAATTTTCGGGGTTAAAATTCAACTCAAGCTTTCAAATCGTTCAACAATGGCAATCCAAAATCTTCTGGCACGAATTCAATTCCAACTACAAGTATTAGCAGAAATCAAATTAAAATGATTTCGCAGCCTTAATAATGAACAAACTTCAAAAAAATTACACAAATTTATAATTTGTTCGTTCCCCGTCTCTTCAATGTTTTGCTTTTTACGACTGAGTGGATTCAGAAGGCGATGTCGTCCTTGTTTGACGTTGCGATTTTTGGTTAAAACTAGCGCAAATAAGCTCCATGCTCGTCTAAGCTTCTTCATCCTATAAAAATGGGAGATTCTTCGAAACTCAGTTCCAACAATTGATAACTCATCGGTAAACAAATAAATCCTAATGGGCGGGTTATTTATGAGTCAGATTTTTTATGGGTTGGTCTAATAGCAGCTTGGACCAATAAATAAGTGCCATATATTCAATTAAAGGACCCATATGTTCCATCTCATAATTCTGTTAAGAGAGGGATATTTTCGATCAAAAGTTAACGTTAAGGGCAATTATGGCCTAATAGGTTAAATGAGGGCAAATTTAAACCATTTTCAATATGTTAGGGGTATTGTTGGCCCTTTTCCGTTGTAAAAATTCAATAGAAAAATAAACCGTCAACTTACTAAATTGAGGCGAAAATTAAAATTTGTATTATTCCAAATATTGATGTAATCACATGTCAGGCCAAAGTGTGATGAAAAATCTAAAGGTCAACGTATGATTAAATGTAAGCTCCTTCCATTTCATGTTAAGATAAGGAATTAATGCACTAATTTTTTTACTAATTGCTCCAACAAAGAGACAGAGAGAAAGAGTGAGACAACAAACATAAAAGAATATTTTTTCTACATTTTCTCTTCTTTTTCAAACATCTGAAGATGAAATTACACTGTCAACATTTTTCTCAATAACCTCATCCTCAGCTTCTAACAAAGACAAACAAGGACTAGTAGAAAAACTAGAAGAACAAAATGACAATGGAGAAGTAAAAGAATGGCTAGTTGTAGTTACAGAAGAAGCCACACAATTTTTACTAATAGAAAGGCTAATCAACAAGTCAAAAAATGCATCAATAATATATCTATGATTGTTTTTCTCATTAACCTTCAAATAAGCAGTCAAAAGCTCTTCAAGACATTTTTCACAATCTTTAATCTCATGATTTCCTTCTACCATTTCTTCCATTGATTTCTTGAAATCCAAAAAAGGGTCCATTGAATCCATTGTCATTACAACACATGACTCTTTAAATGGAACAAAATCAAAACCATCATTTTTGGCCTTTTCAAGAATTGAACTAGTTTCTCCTGGCTCAAAAAATAGCCTCTTTTTTTCAGTTTTTAGGTCTTCAATCACTGTCTCTATGTTATCAACATTGTTGGAAAACTCTGAATAGCCATAATATTCACTGAAAATGTTATGGTTTTCGGCTCGAAAAGAGAGAGTTTTAGGGTTTTTACAAGGTGGTAATGGCCATGGAAATGGAGAAGGAGAAGAATTTTCTGGAATTTTGAAGAGAGAAGGGAGTTTCATTTTGGTTTTTTTTCTTCTTTGGGTTCTTGAATGAAATAAAGAGGAGAAATCTTGATGTTTGAATGGTATAGTAATAGGTAAAAAATTTATGTGTGGTACCTTTTTATTTATTTTGTTTGTAGGTTTCTTGTTGTTGGGCTAATTTGATGGTTGGTGGTGAATTATGAATGGAAGTTTCTTTAATTTCGTTGTAGTAGAGGGCAATTAATGCTAGGCAGAGTTTGTTCGAATATAAGAATTTAAAGAAATGGTGAAAGAAGGTTGCTCGTCAAGAAAAAATGGGAAGGTTTGAGGGGGGAATTTATGTATATATGAGTTTAACTTATATAGAGTAGCGGTGTAAAGAAATCATTGTACTGTTAAATTATTCAAAAGATATTTAAAGATAAGCTTTTATAAAAAGTATGGGAGTAATCTTGAAAATTAGGCAAGTTCACAATTACAGCAGATAAATTTGACAAAATAGTGTAAAACAATTTGATATCGCGGTGATATTAGTTAAATTTTTTATTTATAGGATTCAAGTTATACATACGACTTTTTACACCATTATATTAATTTGACATGTTATAGTAGGTAATAGTTATTTTAAATTATGATGAATATGCTTATTAGCTAGAGGCACCTTCAATTATTACCTTTTAAATGATCTAATTGTATAAGTACTTGCTACCCCCATTAGCGTATAAAACTTTAAGTCATAGTACTCCCTTTATTTCATTATATTTTGTCACTATTTTTTTTAAAATATATTTAAAAGAATTAATATATTTTCAAGTTTAGAAAATACTTTTATTTTAAAAATTTTATTTCACTTTTAATAATGATCTTTTTAGCCATAGAATCTTCATGACATTTAAATTCATAGTTAAAGTCTTTAAAAAAAACCCTTTATCGACCAAACTCTACCGCATGAAATGTGACTGAGGGAATACTTATGTGCTAGAAGTAAACAGACATAAATTTGTTCAACAACATAAGGTCCCCTAATTAATAAGAAACGTATAAAAAAGCTGTACTGCATTGTATTGTCAGATTCAGATTTCTAATTATCAGAGAAAAATTTAACAAGAATAAGTCTGCTTATAAAACAAGAAATTCTTTTTATTTAGAAGCATAATTTTTATTTTGATTCCTTAAAAATTTAACAAGAAATTTTTGTATTGTGCTAGAAGTAAACAGACATAAATTAACTTTTCCTTCCACATAAAACTGCCAAATAACAGAAGATTTGCACTATGGGACATCAAATTTTAATTTCCACGATCTTAACCACCTTTTGCTCCAAAGTAAGGAATAAAAAAACCATCTTTAAGCATAAATGATGACGAATCACACAGTTTAACAATCAAAAATCTAATCATACTTATGAATATGATACTAATAGAGAGGTCAATAAGTCGTATTAATTGAAGGTACTTTATTTAACTAATATCATATATCTAATATTAAAATATATGAATAACTTAGAATGAAGTTTACAATTTCCCTCGTCTATAGAAGTTTGAATTTTTTTTGGACTTTTGTATTTTTGCTACTCATGTTTCTCATATTTGTAGTTATTATAGGCGGTCCAGATTTTAGTATATACTTACAAATTCTATACTGTCCACTCAAAAGACTACTACTCTAACTTCAATCCGTGAGCTCCTCTATTATATTCCTTTAATATTTCCTTCACTTTTTTCTCTATCTATTTGATTCGTAAGAATAAAAAAAATATTTTTATATAGTAGTGGTGGCAAAATGCTTAAAAAATAATAATTATCCATTCATCTCATTCGTTAAAAAATGGGTTGGATAATGAACTTTTAAAAATAGATCAAATATGGATAAGAATTATATTATCCACTTAGAAAATGGATAACTAATGTGTTTAGATTTTATATTTGTAAAGCCTCAAATTAGGGGTTGCTTAAGTTTGAGAGACTATGAATTTTCCCAAAAGTGATTATATTCAAGAAGTCATTAATAATATGGATATTCATATTATTCGTTACCGTTTTTTGTTTGTACTAAATATGAATCATTAAAATTTATTCGCTTTTACATTATTCGTTTTCGACTTGCCATGTCTGTCCCAACCCGCCCGTTTTCTCCCAAAAGTGATTATATTCAAGAAGTCGTTTTTGCTTTTACTAAATATGAACCAAGATTTGTAATTATTGAGCTGCAGCCCTAATGTAATTCTACTCGAAAGAGTCAGAAAAAGAACCAAAAATAAAAGGATAAAAAAGAATTTGCATTTTGTTTTCATATTTCCGATATTGTTGAACATTTAATTCCTGCCAGCACTTCTGGTCTGAAACGTGGCGTGTAAGTAACAGTGTAAGATAGTTTGAGAAAAAAGTGCAAAAAAGATAGAAGAGAGAAAGTTGAGATATTCACATCAACTGTTCATGGTGTCTTTACTCTTTCAGAATTTAAATGATTTTTGTGGGCTTGAAAAGATTGGTAGCCGCCTCCATTTAGTTGTTTGTCCGACCATTTTAATTTTCATTTTTTTTAGGTGTTCATAGCTTTTTACAATGTTAAATTTAAGAAAATATCTTTCATAATTCTCTTACGTGTAAAGGGAGAAATTCAAAAATAGCCAAATTTACAACTGATCGTTCAAAAATAATCTAGTTTTAAAAGTAATCGAAATTTAGCCACTTTTCATGTAAAGATAAATCTGAGCGAAAACACTGTTCAAAACCCGGAAAATACGCCAGTATATTATGCTGGAGTTCCGGCACAAGTATACTTGAACTCCAGCATATTATACTGGAGTTCCAAGATAAGTATGTTGGAACTCCAGCATAATATGATGAAGTTCCAGCAAGTATACCGGTCCAGCATAATATACTGGAGTTTGGAGCACCGGTGCTCCAGTCTCTAGTATATTATATAGGAGCCAGCAAAGTATACCGGTCCAGCATAATATGCTGAAATTCATACACAGGTGCACCGAATTCCAGTATATTATTCTGGACCGGTCTCTATTACAGCAAAATAGTGGCTATTTTTCATTGACTTGGTAAACACTGGCTATTTTTGAATGACCAGTCCGAAAACTGGCTATACCGTGCTAGTTTTACACGTATAAAAGATAGATCTCTTATGTGTAAAAACAAATCTCCCATATATAAAAACAGATATGAGGTCATAAAACTAAAAACAAATTTGTAATGGATCTTTCGTTACCAACAGTAGTCTCGATATATACTACACAAATTTTCGTAGCTTTTTAGGAGTAAATGTTTCATTTTTACGACATGTTTTATTTATTTGCACTCAAAATTTATATTCATCAAATAAATGAATGTATGATACTCCTTCATTATAGTCAAAAATATTTCCTAATTATTATTTCCTTAAAAAACGTGTAAAATAAAAGCACAATAGATAATTTGAGACTCAAACACACATTTATCAATTCATCAGGGTTAAGTGACAGTATGTATTTTCACTTTAATTTTTAACTATTAAAGTTAAATTGTTTAATTAATTTAGTATAAATATTTAGTGCAGGTAAATATATAACATGTCTCGTTATTTTCTCTTGACTAATATGTTATCTAATCCTATTGTATGGGTCCAAATTTGGTCGATCACGGCTACTGTCAAATACGACAAAAAATGAGATCTTCACAGCACGACGTCCTGTGGAGGACGATAACGACCGACAGCGGATAAAGGACGTATACTTTTGCAGTAGTGTAGGCCTAACAGGGGGCATTAGGAATATACCTTCGAATATTCCCTATGGTATGTCTTCTAGGGTTCAGAAGGGGGTTGTCCCTTATATATAGTATATATAGTGAGGAAATAACCTTGTAAGGGGGGAGACTTTTTCGACTAAGAACTTCCATTGTAATATTCACTCTACATTCTTGGTGATCATTTTTACACGCTTAATCCTTCTGTTCCACGGGATCAATAAATAATATTTACATTGTTCATCCCTCATGTCTCTCATGCTGGAGTTTATTATGCTTGGCTGAGATTTACCCCTTTATCTTCTTTAATTGATTTAACCAAAAAAGGTTCAATATCTTTTGGGTCAAACAATTTGGTGCCGTATGTGGGGATTTCCTTAGCTAAGATTATAGTTTCATCTAGAATCCTGAAAGGGATAACAACTTCTTTCGAGCTTGGTACAAACCAACAATGGCAGGGAAAGGAGATGCAAGGCTAAAAGCCATAGTAGGCGTCGCAGCCAATCTTCCAGATACCATCAATGAAGATAGCAGAGAGGATCACGAAAATGAAACACTAAACATCACACCCGGGGGAGACACTTCACCTCTCCTGCACGGGAGCGTGACTGCTTCACGCGAAAGGAAAGCCTCCACATCTGCAATAGGAGAGGCACCGTCGGTAGTAATAAGACTGCTGGAAGAATGGCTAACAAGTGCTCCAAATACCATCCTTGATAAACCCACCCAAAGGGATGATAGGAATGTGACACATGCAGATGTCACGATAAACGAAGGTGAGCAAGACGCCCTCCGTACAGGTAACACTTATGTTGCTAATAATGCAGGCAATGATACGCTTGCAACTGTTTTCAAGAAAATGGAGGAGATGAAAAATGAGAATAAGGCACTCCGTGACCAAATGAAAAAACACCAAGAGAGAGTTGNCCGTTTTCAAGAAAATGGAGGAGATGAAAAATGAGAATAAGGCACTCCGTGACCAAATGAAAGAACACCAAGAGAGAGTTGACAAAATACCAGGCGCTCCAAAGTTGCTGCCAAAATGCGATGTTGGTCGATTCATCGAGCAACCATACAGTGAAGAAGCGACCCTTTACACCATTCCAAAGACCTTCAAAATGCCGCCCTACTTAAAGATATATGATGGTACTATCGATCCAGAAGACCACATCATCCACTACGTTACAGCCATAAAAGGCAGCGATCTCTCAAAAGAACAGGTATCATCGGTGCTGTTGAAAAAGTTCGGCGAAACCTTAACATGGGGAGCCTTGACATGGTACTCTCAACTACCAGCACACTCGATAGCAACATTCGAGGAAATGGCAGACAAATTCGTCACCGCCCATGCTAGAGCCAAAAAGGCAGAAGTTAAGGCAAAAGATATATTTTCCATAAGACAGATGCACGGCGAGGGACTCAGGGACTTCTTAGCTCTGTTCAACAGGGTGAGAATGAGCTTGCCGAATGTGT